CGTCACACTAATCTCTGCTGTTTCCTGAAAATACCAAGCACCATGTACTAGCTCCAAGCTTAAGCACATAATTTTTCTTTTGCCTGAAATGCTCTACTGATACCCACATTGTTCACTTTCTCAGGTCTCTGCTGTCATGTATCAGTGTAATTTATTTAAAATGGCAATTCTATACTCAACACTTTGCAAATTCCTTCCTTGACTTATATTCTCTAAACAATCTTGCTGTCTTAAGGTAAACTACGTATTTTACATACCAAAATAAAATGAAAACTTCATGAGGGCCAGAGGTTCATTTGCACCCTGCTGTATTCTCAGAACTGGACCACTTCTTGCCATATTGCAGATGCTTTGGATTTGTGAAATAATGATTTAATCTAAGAAGAACATGGATAAATTTGTTTATAAAAGCAAATGGTAGAATAAAACAAAATTCTGGCTATTTTTATTTATATGGGATGGAAAAATTAAAAAAAAAAACAACTATTAAATTATTTCTTATTCAGGTACCAAGTTGAATTCACTTAACATCTAAGTGCTTTTGAGAGAGCCCCATTTAAAATTCTTAACAACACTTGTGGGTACTATTATTATCGCCATTTAACAGAAGAAACTGAAGGTGACAGAGGTCAAGGGACTTGTCTAAAAGCAACAGAACAGGGATGTGGCAAAGTCTGTCTATTAGTCTCATAAATTGTTTCTCAAGCCATTTCATCTGCATGACAGAACAGTACAAGAAAAGTACTAGATGTAAACTAATTTCACTTAATTTAATATTTTAAAAAATAGACAAGTTGTTCAAATAAAGTCAGTCTTTTGTCCTTCATGATTTAAATGCAGCTGGCAGTAATCATATGAAAATTTTTCTTTGGCTTTTTCAAAATCTGTGAAAAGTCATTTATCCACATCTTTTTCCTACATGAAAAATTTATGGCTAATAATTCTATAGCACACATGCATGCACGCATGCACACACACACATTTTGGTGAAAATTGACCTCATCCATATCCATTTTGCATATTTATTAGCTTCCAGAAATCCACAATTTTAACTTAACAAACCAAATCCATGAAACACGAAGAAAATTTCATTAATACTTTAAAGCTCAGAGAGCCAAAAAGCAGAAAAAACTTCTAAATGTTACCATTTGGGGGAAATCTAAGAAAATTTTAACCTATTTTGCTATAAATTTTCCATTTAATAACTCTAGATCCATAAAATAAAGCTCTAATAAAACTGGCATCGTAAGATACAACATTCATGTTGAAGTCTAGCCTTATGAATATTAGTGGACATTATATTTTAAAGAATATTTAACACAGGGTAGTGACCCATGTAAAAATGAGCCACAGTATAAAAAGTTCCAATAGTGCATTATAAAACACACAGTAAATTGTCTCAACCATCCTAAAAAAAGAAAACAGTCGCACCAATACCTGGTCAGACAAAGAAGGAGCAAAGAAAACACTATCTGTTCTTACAGGATACAAAAGACTATCACATAGACACACAGCAATGTTTTTATTTAGGATGGGTGTTTGGAGAAAAGGCAAATAAATTATGCTTTGAAAAATCAAAAGAATCAGGAGAAGTAAAAGTTCAATAGAAAGATCTCTACAATTAAACATGAATGACAATTCATCCAAGGTGTGTGGGAGAAACTCATCTCTCCACCATCTGTAAAACTGTTTTTTGTGTTACCACAATACTATTTAAAAGTAAGGAGGTCTACTAACACAGAGACTTTGTCTCAAGCAATCTGGTTGGTTGGAAAAGGTATTTAAGGACTAAAACTGCACTCATTAAAAACATATATGATCCAAAGTTCCAAAATACTTAACATTTCACATTAGACTTTCCTAAGGAAATTAATAAAATTTTGCTGTTATTTCTATTTTTCCTCAAGAGAAAAATCCCTTCTTTGAAATTTTCCCTTGTGATGATTTCTAGTATCACTCAAGATACTTCCTCAAGGGAGAATTTCTCATTAGCAATAAGATTAAGATCGTTGGGTTTGTTGGTTTGTTTTTTGGCCCTTTCTAGCGAGGAAATACATTTAAAATTACATATTGGAGTGCCCTGAATTTATTTCATTTCATAGACATTTGGGAAGCACGTGGAAGGTATAGTACAGAACTTTTGGGCTGTTGGAGTTTTGAAAGCCAGAACAGTTTTATCAAATTATGAATTATTACAACAGCTTTAAGTACATTCAAGAAAACAAATCAATTTAGGTCAGCTTTCTTACTACTTGTTACTTAAATTCAACTCATAATAAATTTTAGCAAATTCCTTCATAATTTCACATTAGCAATTAGGCACAAAGGATACATATTATTCAAGAAATACTTGGTTCAAAGTAAAATGTTTAATTGGTACTATTCTTTACATGTTCTGAATGTAGACAGCTACTCCACATATCTTCTATGCCTTAAACACTAGAGTTACCTCAAAATTCTACTCCCATTTCACTCCTCTCAACCTGATAGCAATCAATATTGCTAAGATAAATTTTTGGTTTGATAGTTGAAAAGGCATTTGAAATACGCAGGGTCAAACTAATATCCCCATCTTAGAAGGACCTCAGATTTCTAGTTTAAGAAACAATCTAGGGTACTTTAGAGTAAAAGCCGTATCAACAAAACCTACACACTATACATAAAAATATCATGACTGTCAAAATGTATTATGTCAAGAATTTTATCAGCAGCATTTTAAAAACAAGAAATTATTAGGCAGTAAGAGGCAAACATGATAGTGCAGATCCAGATCAACACACATATATATATTTTTTGTTATCACATTGTTACCTGAATCCCTGGCAATTTCCTACATATCATATAACAAAAATTATTGTCCCCAGGGGGTTTTGTGTGTGAGTGTGTGTGTGTGTATGTGGGTGGGGGCTTAGGGCGCAATCTCTCCACCCTTCACATCAGAGCATCAGTACCTGACTCTACTTTCTTCCAATAGTGTTACATCTATACTATTTGGTAAGAAAAAAGTTGACTCCATATTATAAAGCACCACTGAGCATTTCATAAAGGAAATAATTCTGAAAATTTACAACAGAATTCTTGGGAAGGCACTTTAAAGCCAACTAGTCAAAAAAAAGGAGCCACAACAATTATATTTCTTTTTTATATTGCAGGCTCCTTAATACTGTCCTCTTTCCTTAATATCTTAACCACTTAACATCTTAATTACGCATTTTCCAGTAAATTAAATGCTGTTTAAATATAAATTAAGAAAGGAAAGAAGGGACGTAGTCCGTACTTTGACTAATTAGGCAGTGTAAATTTGCCTCCAAAGTAGGTAAATGTAACATATATTTAAGATAAGAGAAATATATATGGTAAGAGTAAAGTAAAAATGACCAGGTTAGGATTAGGCTGCTGACCTTCAGGAAAAAAATTTCATCTTCATTTTCAGACTACAAACTCTTAACCATATCTTTGGGTAAGTAAGCAAAGTAAATGTGTTCCTTATTTTACTCAAATAATGAAGATGACAAAGACATTACCTTTAGTTAAGGCTATACGGTGAAATAAGATTTCACCTGTTTTGGAATTAAACAAAAATGAAGAATATTCTTCAAGTTATTCTTTGCAAAGAGGAGTCAATTATTCAAGGCTTAAAAATTTAAATGTTTTTACTTAAAATGAATTTGATCTTAAGACATGATGATACTAAATCATAACACTGTTTCTATGCTCAGTTCTAGTATTTCAGTGATTCTAATAATTAAGAACAACAATACAGGAGAATTATTCTTAGTTGTGAGACATTTAGGAAAAAATTTGTTGCCCTCTATTATATCAATGCCTTACAAAACTGTACAAAGTAATCGTATCAAGAAGGCAAGCAAAACAATGTCAATCGTTTTCTGCCTGCATGTGAAAGGAACAGTAAAAAATAAAAAGCTTTAAAACACTACCCTCCTTAAGTAAACAATACTGAAATTACATTCATGATCATCATCAAAACCCTACTTTTTCCTTAAATCCCAACAGAAATTTCATTATGGAAAAATAATCTATTTACTTCTGTATATGCTTATTACAAAGAAACTAGGAATGGTATTCAGGTTGTGACTAGACTGTAAATTTTATCTTCCTATCATTGGTATTATGGATAGTTTGAGAAGGAATGTACAAACATGCCTGTTGTTAGCCTGAAAGATGCCTTCCATGGAAATTTTCTTGCATTTCCTCAAGATACTTTATTGCCAGCAGTCAGTAAACTGTGATAAATAGCAAACTATAACACTACTACCAACACAAATGGCACGACTGTGCTGTGCACACTTACAGAGTTCTCTCATGGTTCCTTATTCTATCATCTTCTTTCCCCAAATATACCTTAATTAAGTCTACAACATTGAGCAAAAGTTCACTTCAGGCAAACAAAAGCATTCTCAACGAAACTCTCTATATCATAAAATGAGAGTTAAAATTATCATAAATATGTTGCTAATAACAATGAAACTTCAAATATTAATCCTGACTCTCTCACAAGGATGTCTGATTTTGAGACCATTAATGTATCAACCTTGCTCTTTCAAATATAAATGGAAATTTTTAAATGACAGAAAAAACTGAAAATTTACATTAAGATTATACATGCAATGCTCATTTATACTTATCTAAAATACTATTTAATGGATAGAAAACAAAATAACTTTCTAATCCTAAACTCTTCAGATAAGATATATGCATAACACCCTGGTGGCTTTTACAGAAACCCAGAGCTGAAAGTAGGAGCATTTTTAATAGCTGCATCGGAAAATCATTGTCTCAGAAGTCAAGGCCAGTAATCTACTCTTCCTAACTCTGCAGAGATGACTATAATGAGCCATACCATTAAAAGACAACATTGCCAAGTATTAAGATTGCTTAAAATCTTTAAAATTTCACAAATTCATGTTTGGTTAGAACCTCAAAAATTCAACAATTCAAATTTACAAAAATAAATACCACTCTGACACTCAAGGGACATCTTCACTTTAAGGCCTTTGTCACAAATCTGAATCTTTATTGTTCTGAAATAAATGTTAAAAACATAACTTGAAACAAAAACTTCCATATTCAGTCTCAGAAGCGTGGCTCAATGCCCATCACATGTAACAAGAAAACGTCCTTTAAAAAAAAGGAAAAAAAAAAAAGGGCTATGAGAAGTCTTTCATATGAATAAAAATGCACCCTTTGGATTTTTTCCCCCTCATCATTAGCTTGTATACACGTGGGAATCAAAAGGTTTGCATTTTCTTCACAATAGTTCTTGCTATGATGTTTGACGGACTTTTTGCCACTCAACAAATTCATCAAGAAGAACGGGCCCTGGAAATAAAAAAACAAGTTCTGTCAGAATTCAATCCCCACAAACTGTGATGACAGACCTGATCCCTTCCTTCAGATCTGCTTCCAGCTGCTCCAATAATTAACGGTGCTTTCTTGGCTTTTTCTTTTTTGCCATTAAAGGTGTGTTACATGTGTTACATGAATTTTCCAATAATTCAGTCAATATTCACCTATATATTTTTCTAAGTGACCACAGTGTCACTTAATCATTAAATGATCTGAAAAGTATTTACGATGCTATTTCTGTTACCCCAGCACAAGAAGTGTGTAAGTTTGTTGAGGAGGACTGTCCATACTAGAGAGTTATTTTAATCCAGTAACAGCACCTAGTAAAAGGGCCGGTGCTGTGGCATAGTGGGTAAATTCGCCACCTGCAGTGCAGGCATCCCATAGGGGCGTTGGTTCAAGTCCCAGCTGCTCCACTTCTGATCCAGCTCTCCGCTATAGCCTGGGAAAGAAGTGGAAGATGGCCCAAGTCCTTGGGCCCCTGCAACCTTAAGGGAGACCCAGAAGAAGCTCTTAGCTTCTGGCTTCAGATCGGCATAGCTCTGGCCATTGCAGCCATTTGGGGAATGAACCAACGGATGGAAGATCTCCCTCCCTCCCCCTCTCTCTGCCTCTCTGAAACTCCCTTTCAAATAAATAAACAAATCTTCAAAAATAAATAAATAAATAAATAGAACCTAGTACAAAGCTGAACACAATGAGGATGGTGCTGTGGTGCAGCGGGTAAAGCTGCTGCTTGCAGTGCTGGCATCCCATTTGGGCCCCAGTTCAAATCCAGGCTACTCCATTTCTGATCCAGCTCTCTGCTATGGCCTGGGAAAGCAGTAGAAAATGGCCCAAGTCCTTGGACCCCTGCACCCACATGGGAGACCTGGAAGAAGCTGCTGGTTCCCAGCCTCAGATCAGCCCACCTCTGGTCACTGGGGCCATTTGGGGAGTGAACCAGTGGATGGAGACCTCTCTCTCTCTCTGCCTTTGCCTCTCCAACTCTGCCTTTCAAATAAATAATAAATCTTAAAAAAAAAAAAAAAAAAAACCTGACCACAAATCAGTGCCTAATGAACACCTGATGAATAAGTATTATTCTAAATAAGATATTTTTATAATATAAATGTCCAAATTCATTTACCTATTGAAACCAGGAAGCAATTTAAATGGACTGAGTTAATTGTTTTTAAATAGGAAAAAAACACTGCCACAAAAAATATGCTTGCTCTGTTTTTCTTAAAACATAAAGCCCTCTGGTGGTCTCTTTTTCTCGTTTCTGATAGATTTGTTTCTCTAATGTAAGAAAAACAAACCAAGCACAATAATAAATGGCAATGAAAAACAGCTTCTTGCTAAAAAAGAAAAAAAAAAAAGCACACAGCTTAAATGTTGGCATAGGAGGTAGATTATCAAATGAGAAAGCAAGTTCAATCCAAGCCACTAACTGCCTCCTGCCTTTGACTTCTATTAAGGAATACAGGTACAATTTTGCCAGATTTTCTGACTCTTCAAATAAATTGAGAAGTTGTATTTTTATACAAAATCTGCAGTTGGTTAAAAATATGTAAATAGGGACCAGTACTATGGCACTTTAGGCTAAGCCTCCACCTGTGGCGATGGCATCCATATGGGCACCAGTTCATGCCCTGGCTGCTCCTCTTCCGATCCAGTTCTCCGCTAATAGTTTGGGAAAGCAGTGAAAGATGCCCAAGTACTTGGGTCCTTATATCCATGTGGGAGATCTGGAAGAAGCTCCTGGCTCCTGGCCTTGGATCGGCCCAGCTCAAATTAAAAAAAAAGGTGGTGGGAACTAAAACATGTAGTCCCAGAGAATTAACGTGACTCCTCTAATTAATTTACCGTTATTTTCAAATACTGTCTTATGACACCTCAGCCTTTTCCAGTAAAGAGTATGGGCAAATATTTTAACTTTAAGGATCAAAACATTGTAAATAATTCACTACTAATTAACTCAGAATTTTAAGTGGGAAGTTATTTTAATATACTTTGCCATATTGTTAATGGGTATTTTACATTAACTTTCAAGCTTTCTCTTTTGTAGTTAATTGATTTGTTTCTTTTTTTTTTTTTTTTTCAAAAAAAGATTTATTTGAAAGGCACAGTTACAGAGAGGCAGAGGCAGAGAGAGAGAGAGAGAGAGGTCTTCCATCCACTGGTTCACTCCCCAGATGGCTGCAATGGCCGGAGCTGTGCCGATCCAAAGCCAGGAGCCAAAAGCTTCTTCTGGGTCTCCCACATGGGTGCAAGGGCCCAAGGACTCGGGCTATCTTCTACTGCTTTCCCAGCAGAAAGCTGGATCAGAAGTGAAGCAGCTGGGACTCGAACCAGTGCCCATATGGGATGCTGGCACTGCAGGAAGCAGCTTTAACCCACTGTGCCATAGCACCAGCCCTTCCATTTCTTCAAGATCAAAACTGTTTCAAAATCATGTACTTTTTCCTCCACAGGAAAATTCAATGAGAGGCAGGAGCAAAGCTGAATTTTAGCTTTGATACGTGGAATTATAATTTAAATTAGCTACAATGCTTCACTACTGAAGAATCAAAAATATTTATTAGTGTAGACTTTATTGTCCAGTTTTAAGTTGCCTACTTCCTCATATTCCCACATGATTAAATAAGAAGTTACTGGTATGGTTTTTAAAACCGTTATGCCAATGCTACATTAATGCATGCTCTCATGAAATATTTTGGGGAATTTTATTCTGAGAAGAATACATCATACTTACAAGCACCATCTTCATCGTAGTTACTAAGGTCGGCATGGACTGTTCTGCTGAATTCTAATACATTGTACCACTGATCTTTGTTCATAACACGATACTTCGATTGCTGCAGAAAATAATATAAATAAATGAACCATGGAAGAAACATTATTTATTAAGGCTTGACCTAATTAAAATTTAGCTAACTTTTCTCATTATTGATATATATATATATATATTTTTTTTTTTTTTGATAGGCAGAGTTAGACAGTGAGAGAGAGAGACAGAGAGAAAGGTCTTCCTTTTCTGTTGGTTCACCCCTCAAATGGCTGCTATGGCCGGCACACTGCACCGATCTGAAGCCAGGAGCCAGGTGCTTCCTCCTGGTCTCCCATGGGGTGCAGGGCCCAAGCACTTGGGCCATCCTCCACTGCCTTCCCGGGCCACAGCAGAGAGCTGGACTTGAAGAGGAGCAACCGGGACAGAATCCGGAGCCCCAACCAGGACTAGAACCCCAGTGCCAGCGCCACAGGCGGAGGATTAGCCTAGTGAGCAGTGGCGCCAGCCTCATTACTGATCCTTTTCTAATTCTTCTTTCAATTGTGTTTCTAGAGAATCTTCAAGAACATTTATAGATCATCATCTATTTTATTAATAGTGAAAAAAGTCAATAAATTTTTACACATATAACTGTGTAACCAGAAATTTGAGATCAAGATATAGAACATAGGGTCCAACTCTGTGGCATAGTAGGCTAAGCCTCTGCTGCGTTGGCATAATGTACAGGTGCCAGTTCAAGTCCCAGCTGCTCCTCTTCCAATCTAGCTCTCTGCTATGGCAGAAAAGCAGAAGAAGATTGTCCAAGTGCTTAGTCTCCTGCACCTACGTGGCAGACCTGGAAGAAGCTCCTGGCTTCGGACTGGCCCAGCTCCAGCTGTTGAGGAATTGAGTAAATCAATGGATGGAAGACCTTTCTCTCTGTCTCTCCCTTTCTCTGTAATTACCTTTCATATAAATAAATAAAATCTTTTTTAAAAAGATATAGAATGTGTCCTATGTTAAGTTATTTTGTTTTGGTACTCAGTAAATCATTTTATTTGCATGAGATTTACCTCCATTTTGAAGTTGATAACTTGGAGGATAGTGGAAGGCTTGGCTTTAAATCCCACACAGACCAATTAGTTCAGTGACCTTAGGAAAATTACTTAAAATCAGAACTAATTCAAAATGGTGCTACAGAGTTTCAAAAATGATGATGTATGCCAAACAGCCAGCCTGCGTATAACAAGTATGAAAAATTTCATCCTCATAGAGGTATTTTGTATCTACTGTTTTTGCTGAAAACTACTAACAAAGTAGATACCATTCATCAAAAATATCTACTTTATTGGGTTTCAGATTAATTATGTACAAAACTCATTCACAAGACCAATTCATCAGTTTTCTTACAGACTTTAAACAAAACCACTCTGTGGAACTTCGTATGATAAACAATGATCTTTATGAGGAATTATTTTCAAAGCAAAAAACATTTTCATTCAAGAAATGGTGAAAACCATACCAAAAACCCTAACAGCAAAAAAGGCACAGAAACACGGTTCAGCTTTTAGTGCAGCAGGTTAAGCTAATGCCTGCAGTGCCAGCACCCCAAATCGGAATGTTAAGAGTTTCAGCTGCCCTGCTTCTGATCCAACACTGTGATAATGCACCTGGGAAAGCAGAGGATGGCTTAAGTATACGAGCCCCTGCCACCTCCCACATGGAAGACCCAGATGCAGTTCCAGGCTCCTGGCTTCAGCCTGCTACAGTCCCGTCAATGCAGCCATTTGGGGAGTGTACCAGCAAATGAAAAATCTTTTTCTCTGTTTTTCTCTCTGTCACTCTGCCTTTCAAATAAATAAAATAAATCTTAAAAGTCACAAATAGAGATATACAATTAGACAAAACAATCGGAAAAAAATGACAGCATCTTCTTAAACTCACTAACAAGTTCTATGATAACCCTTATTATCTACTTCATAGATTCAGTACATTTTTTTTTCAGCAATCAGTACAATTTGCACATACTACAGGGGCACTTTAAGAGTCTGTGTAAAATGTAATTAAAAGAAATTTCCTTTGGTGCAAATTACATATAAAAAAGCCATACATGGATTTCAAATTTTTTGCACCAAAGAAAATTTATTTGTTATAGAGAATGATATTAAAAGATACTTATTTTGGTGAAGAAAAAAGTTTTTTTATTAGCACTAATAATAATTGTACATGTTTATGTAATTCTGCAATTTTTAAAAAATAGTTACTTATTGGAAAAGCCGAATTACAGAGAGAGAGCAAGATTGAGAGAGAGAGAGAAAGAGAAAGAGAAAGAGATATCTTCCATCTGCTGGTTAACTCCCCAAATGGCCACAACAGTCAAGGGCCAATCTGAACCCAGGAGCAAGAGTGTCTTCTGGGTTTCCCATGAGGGCGAAGTGGCCCAAGCACCTGGGCCATCCTCTGCTACTTTCCTAGGCACATTAACAGAGAGCGAGATTGGAAGTGAAGTAGCCGGGACTCGAACTGGCAACCTTATGGAATGCTGGAGCTGCAGGCAGTGGTTTTAGCCACTAAGCCATAGCAATGACCTCCACAAACTTTTTGAGGAACCCATGTACGCATGAAAATGTGGTATTTATATACAATAGAATACTATTTGGCCATAAAAAAAAAATGAAATCTTGTCACTGGAAGCAAAAAGGATGGAACTGGAGGACACCATGTTAAATGAAAGAAGCCAGACACAAAGACAAATACCATATGTTCTCCTTCATATCTGAAAGCTAAAAATAACAAATCAAAAAGTCAATTTGAACACAAGATGGCCATTGCTATAGGCTGAGAGGAGTTCAGAGTGGGAATATTAGGAGTCTGGATATCAGGTACCAAATCAGAGTTTGATGGAAAGACTAGTGTTATAAAGCAGAATGGGGGAAGACTACAGTTGACAATAACCTAGTATATAAAGTATACAGTTCACAATAACCTAGCATATGAACAAACAAAAGAAAGAAGCTTCAAAGCTGCAATCATAAAGAAATGTCAAAGAAGGGGAAATACTGATGACTTTTTGTTTTGATAATTACACAATGTATACCTGTAACCCATAAACATGTACAATTATTATTAGTGCTAATAAAAAATGTTTCTTCATCAAAATAAGCATCTTTTAAATCATTCTCTATGAACTCTTTGAAGTATCCTTATATTATAGCCATTCTCTTATTTGTGGACATGGAACATTTGGTTTACTGTATAGTTTCAACTGAGTTTAAGTAGAAAAGACAGTTATTATCTATGGTTATCATATGTGCATTTCAGCACATACAACTGACTTCATGAAACAGATTAAAAAAACAGATTTAGAAGCTTGGGATTTGTGTGCTAGCAATCAATTCTCTCTTGCCCCAAAGCAGAAACTAATTTTTCATGAAAAACACTTGGAAGTTTCTTTTTGCAAGGAGTAGGAAGTAAAATGAAAAAAATCTCAAGCACAAAACATATTAATGGACATGAATTCATGTCAAAAACTCGTAGAAATACACACATTTTAATTGTTTCCTCACTTAAAATTTTTAAAAGCACAGCATTAAAAATCTATTTGCTCCTAAGTTAAAAGTATATTTTTATCAGAATAAGTTTTAAGATTATATTTTCAAACTAAAAAACAAAGTTCATACATACCTCCAGGTACTGATAGAATACTGAAAACAGTGGCCATGTCCTTCCAAGCAGAAGAGCTAACATAGATTTAGCAGTATCAATATCAAGGCTTCTCTGATCTTTATCCTAAAATTAAAGCAGAAAAATATTCCTATCATTATGTAATTTGTACAACTGTACCTACAAATTATATTGAATCTGTTAAAAACTAATTAAAAAGAAAAAAAGTCAACCAAACATGGACATTGTACCTACCCTTGCAAAATCAAAGGCATATCTGTAGATATTCTTAAATGATGAAATATCATTCAACTGTGAGCGCAAAAAGTCAAATTTGTTCTGTAACTTTTCTGTGCAGTCACACCTTAAATGCAAAATCAAAGTATACAATCAAGAAAATTCAGTAACAATGTCTTTAGGAGGTTAGAAGAAACATATCAACCAAAAAATGAATATATTTATGCAGTTAATTTTGATCTAAAAATCCTGATTCCACAAATTTAGAATAAACTTGTTGCTATCTATATACCAATATTATAGAAAAAAAGGAACATGTGAATAAAAAAAAAAAAACAGAAAATCTGGCAATCAATGAAAGGTTACTCCAGTGAGGCTTAAGAAAAAAAATCAATTTTAAAAAAATATTGATTTATTTATTTACTTATTTATTTGAGAAGCAGAGAGACAGAGAGCTCCCATCTGCTGGCTCACTCCAAAATGCCTGCAAAAGCCAAGTCCAGTCAGGCTGACACTGGGAGCTGGAGTTGGGAACATAATACAAGTGTCCTACTTGAGCCATCCATCTGCTGCCTCTCAGGCTGTGCCTTAGCAGGAAATTGAAATTGGAAGTGGAGCCAAGACTCTAATTCAGCCACTCTACATGAGATGCAGGTGTTTTAACCCGTATACCAAATGCCTGCCCCATAAAAAAATTCTGATAAAATCACAATTATCTCTTAAAAAGAGATGTATTCAAATATGCTGTTATCATATGTAAAGTTAAACAACATATTGCATAGCAAAAAATTAATCAGAACTCTGTCATGTATCTCTCAAGTGAGTTCTCAGGCAATAGGTTGGTGAAAAAGATGAGCTTTTAAATGTTTAGGTTGAGGTTTATATGTTTAGGATACAGGGAAATTATTTAATGGTCCAGTCATAAATCTAGTTTCCCCCATTTTTAGTAAATAAAAAGTCAAGGACAATCAGTAGAAGCATCTAACTTGACATAAGATACTCTTGTAAAATAAAGCACACTGACAAATTATGTTATTTGTAAAGACAAGACCTCAAACAACTAAACAGATGCGATGCCCAAAAATTTTGACTTTCTAACTCTCCCTGAGTTGATAAATTCCACTATTTAGAGCAAAAAGCAAGGCAGAAAAAGGTTATCATATCTTGGCACAAATCTCCAGTCTCATCTCCTGCCACTTCCCTTACATATCTAGCTATATTTCACTTATCATTTCCAAATGCCACAGCTATGCTACAGCACATTTCCATTATTTAAACTGCTATTGCTGGGGCTGGCATTTTGGCTTAGCAGGTAAGGCTGCTGCCTGCAAGCAACACTAGCATCCCAAATGGCACCAGTTCAAGTCCCACTCCCTGCTGTAGGCTTGGGAAAGCAGTGGAGAATGACCCAAGTGCTTGGGTCTCTGCACCCATGTGGGAGACCCGGAAGAAGCTCCTGACTCCTGGCTTCAGCCCAGCCCAGCCTTGGCTGTTGTAGCTATCTGGGGAGTAAAACAGAGAATGGAAGACCTCTCTCTCTCTCCCTCTCTTTGTAACTCTGAGTTTCAAATAAACAAATAAATCTTAAAACAAAACAAAACAAAAAAATCATGAATTGTTGTTGCTTCCATTTATTCTGAGAAATTACTCACCAAGACCTCACAGTTTGCCACTTTAGAATCTGACTTCCCTTAGTCAAATTAGTAAGGCATCTACTGTGACCCAGCATATTCCCCTCAAAACTGAATTTTACTATTCATGAAGCACTGCAAATGCCTGAATTCTTAGATGTAACTAAAATGTTTATTATCTTAAATCAATGATTAAGGCGTAACTCACTGGATACAATTCCAATGTAAATTAAATACTGTATTTCTTTTTTTTTTTTTTTTACAATTTATTTTTATTTATTTGAAAGAGTTACAAAGAGGTAGAGACAGAGAGAGAGGTCTTCCATCTGCTGGTTCACTCCCAAGATGGCTGCAACAGCCAGAGCTGCACCGATCCAAAGCCATGAGCCAGGAGCTTCTTCCAGGTCTCCCATGTGGGTAGAGGGGCCCAAGGCTTGAGCTATCTTCTACTGCTTTCTCAGGCCATAGCAGAGAGCTGGATCGGAGGTGGAGCAGCCAGGACTCGAACTGGCACCCATATGGGATGCCGGCACTTCAGGCCAGGGTTTTAACCCACTGTGCCAGCCTCTAAATATTGAATTTCTAAAATAAGTCAACTTTTACTGTATTACAATGTTTTATACATTGCTAGATTTTTTTTTTTTTTTTGGCTATGCTTCTGTGAAGCAGACTGGGAAATTTTTTCTTCACACACTTCCCTTGCTGGATTTGACAATACTTTTACAGTATAAGTCTCAGAAAATTTAACTATAATTACCACCCTTTCTTCTGTTTTCTGAAAAAAAAATTTATGCAATTTTAGAATTAGTGTCTATCTACACTCAGATGGAAAACTATCTGGGCTGTTCTACCAAAGAAGAATAGGAAAGGAAGATTTTTAAATACTAAATCAACATTTTTAACAGTTACAGAACCATTTGGATTTGCTATTTCTTTTTAAATGTTTTTGTCACTTAAACTTTTCTGATAACTGGATTATTCTGAATAAAATTTGATTTAAATATGTTCCTTAAGATAATTTGTTAACACTTTGCTTTTTCTAAAAGATTTATGTATGTATTTGAAAGGCAGAGATAGAAGAACAGAGAGAGAGAGGGAGATGGATCTTGCATCCATTGATGCACTCCCCAAATGCCTACAATAGTCAGGTCTAGACCAGGCTGCAGTCAGGAGCCAGAAACTCCACTTGGTCTCCCACATGGCTGACAGGGGCCCAAGAATTTAAGCCATCTGCTGCTACTGTCCCAGAAATATTATTAGGGAGCTTGATTGGAAATAAAGCAGTTAAGACTCAAACTCGTATTCTGATACAGGATGCCAGTGTCATCAGTGGTAGCTTAGCCTGCTGTACCACAATGTCGGCCCCTACAACATTTTCTAAATTACATTATTTATTTTTGCCTTTGCATTATTTTGATCAGAATTCATTTAATATAGCATTTAAGACTACAGGATTTCCCTCTCAGTGTAATTTTAACTGTAACCATAGGCTCTAAGTACAATTGCTTTGATCATAAACTTGTAAATGCTACTTTGACAACAATCTTGTTTCAGAGAAGTAAGAGGAATAAAAATCTTGCTGGAATAGGTTTAAGAAAATGAGAAGAAAGGAACTAGAGAAAATAGGCATAGAAGAATACCTTTAAAGAGTTTGGTTCTGAAGTAGAACAAAGAAAGAAAAGAGCAGTGGAATGGGAGCAGCAGAAGGTTGAAAAAAGTTTTTTTTTTTTTTTTTTTTTTTTTTTGCGGTATGAATGGCCCTTATTGGTTACCACACAAAAGGGAACAGAACAAGGGATCTGACAGTTCCTGCTCCAGCAAAGGTGTCCGCAGACCTGAAACTCGCTCACCACTCCCGGAAAGCTAAAAAAGCTTTTTGATAGACAAATAACTTCCACTCTCAGCAAGATGGAGTAAATGAATGTACTCCCTCCACTGGGCCCCATGAATCCCTGGACATTACCCATAGAAGAAACTAAGACTCTGAAAGGCAGAGGACTGAAACATGCTGGTGAGATCCCTGGGTTTATTTTTGCCTCAATCATACCAAATTTGGAGCTGACGAAGCCAGCAAAGCAGAAACGCTAAAAGGCCCAATAAAGGGCTGCTCTTTTTCCTAGCTGAAGACCAGGAAAGAAGCAGCCAGTCTTCTGTAAAGCAGAAACTACTTCAGGTAAACAACACTGAAAAAACCGGGCTCCAAATCCATTAAGTGCTGGCAGAGATCAAAGGGGACCTAAAATGCATACCCTAACCAGAATATAGGGCCCCTCTCTCAGCTCCTGCAGTAGTGGTGGAAACCACACAGAGAACACAAACTCCTACTCCCACCAGGTGGTAACTAACAGCCAATCCTCTCAGCCCAGGGTTGTACAAAGGAGACATACTAGGCTTTCACTATCATACAGTAGTACCAAGGCCACCACCTCAATACTGTCAGTGGAGGTCATATGGGGTTCTAGATCTTTCAGAAAAGGAGGTATTAAAGGAGGCCCAAGGCCAGCACCATGGCTCACATCGTTAATCCTCAGCTTGCGGCGCCGGCATCCCATATGGGCGCCGGGTTCTAGTCCCGGTTGCTCCTCTTCCAGTCCAGCTCTCTGCTGTGGCCCCAGAAGGCAGTGGAGGATGGCCCAAGTGCTTGGGCCCTCCACCCACATGGGAGACCAGGAGGAAGCTCCTGGCTCCTGGCTTCACATCGGCGCAGTGCGCCGCCGTGGTGGCCATTTGAGGGGGTGAACCAACGGAAGGAAGACCTTTCTGTCTCTCTCTCTCACTGTCTAACTCTCCCTGTTAAATAAAAAAAAGAAGCAGCCCAAGGCCAACACTGTGGCATAGCAGGTAAAGCTGCCTGCACTGCTGGCATCCCATATTAGCACCAGTTCAAGTCCCAGCTATTCCACTTCTGATCCAGCTCTCTGCTATGGCCTGAGAAAGCAGTAGAAGATGGTCAAAGTGTTTGGACTCCTGCACCCTTGAGGGAGACTTGGAAGAAGCACTGTCTAACTCTCCCTGTCAAATAAAAAAAAAGAAGCAGCCCAAGGCCAACACTGTGGCATAGCAGGTAAAGCTGCCTGCACTGCTGGCATCCCATATTGGCACCAGTTCAAGTCCCAGCTATTCCACTTCTGATTCAGCTCTCTGCTATGGCCTGAGAAAGCAGTAGAAGATGGTCAAAGTGTTTGGACTCCTGCACCCTTGAGGGAGACTTGGAAGAAGCTCCTGGCTTCTGGCTTCAGATCAGATCAGCTCAGCTCAGCTCAGCTCTAGCTATAGCAGTCATTTGGAGAGTGAACCAGCGGATGGAAGATCTTTCTTTCTCTTTCTCTCTCTGATTCTCTGTAACTCTTCCAAATAAATAAATCTCTAAAATTATTTTTTTAAATGTGAAAAAGTACAATCTATTAAAAAAAAAAGGCTTAAGGACCAGCACTGTGGTATAGCACTACCTAGAGTGCTGGCATCCTACATGAGCTCCAGTTCCAGGCCCTGCTGC